AGCTGAGGCAACTTTCTTTTGATTAGTATATGTAAAATATTCCAACTCCTTATTCCATTATTCCCTGACATTTTGGACATAACTCTTTTACTCAAGGAATTAACTTCTGTTGTAAGCTTAGCTTTAGATAAAGTAGCAGTAAATTCTTCCAAAAGCGTTGGAAGCACTGAAACACACCTCTGATGGCACACATATAAACCCCAACAAATGCAGCAGCTGAATATACTACCAACTGGCATTATTTACTAACATTAGTAAATAATATCTAATTGGCAATACTGAAAAACATACCATCCAGTCTTATTACATGATCTAAACTATAGATTTTGCTACCAGCCCAACTCTTCCACGTAAAAGGCTCTCTCTCTTATTTCAAAACTGAATTCTCCCATACAATTAATTAGCATGGAAGCATGGATCAAATTATAACTGATTGCATTACATGGCAAATTTCTTAGTACAAAAATGGTTAGGGGAGCCAGTCCTATCTTTTTGATAAATCTAGATCCCAGTGCCATCCAGTCAAGAAGGGGTGCCAATTAATTTTACTCCAAAATAGATAAACTAAAATCTGAAAAATTACATTGTCCCTTTTTGATTAACAACTATGTTCTCTTAAAGCTGTTAAAATGAAGATACCCCTCCACACACACACAATAAATTTACGAAATATTGTATAAAATGTTTGAATATACATTTGTGGAATATGTTAGGGAAAACCATAAATTATCTTTGGCAGGACTGCCATTTTAGGAATATTAATCTTATCCTAAGTAATATCCTTCTTTCCAAGCCAAATATACAAGGGTCTCCAAAAAGTTTCCACACATTTATGTTTTGTAAATATATTTTTTTGCTGAGGGCGTTAAAGTTGGTATGATGCTGGGAAAATTATATTGCAAAGAAAGGTGCCTATATAGAAAAGTGATGTATTTTGTTTTTGACATTCTTAATAGATTTTTTAAGAGTGAGGAAAGTTTTTTTGAAGAACCCTTGTATTTCCACTGGTAACCCACTTTTCCAGTTTAATCAGTTATAAAATATTCTTGGGTAACAGTATAATAAGATATTTCAGCACTTCTGAACACTAGTGAATTGCCATTTTGGTTGCAACACTGGCTGTCCTGATGTTCCCTATAGGCTTTAATTCACATTTTGACCAATAGATAGTACAACCTCGAAGTGTGTCAGTTAATCTTTTTTTAAGATTAATTTGACTCTGCCCTAGTGATAAATGACAAAAATTGTGCAAAATTTGTTGCATAGGTTGCAGATTCATAAAACTGGAACTGTCTCTAGTCCACTTAATTGTACTTGTCAGGAGTTTTGATCACAAGTCAACTATTTTGATTAGCCTGGCGACTAGAGCAACATGTGCTACCATAAACATAAAATGTGTGCTGTACCATCCTCACAAAGGCAATTGAATCTTAGCAAGCAAGCAAGCAAACAAACAAACAAGGATTTTTTTTCACAATGGTCATGAAGAAACAGAGTTTGTTAGTGTTGGAAGAAAAAATAATTTGAAATTTTATATTATCATTTAAAGATACATATCTGTAAAAGTGTAAAAGAACTTAAAATACACTTGACAATGCCCAATAAATTATGACTGTTGTATTTACAAAGGGATCTTGGTTTTCTACTGCAGTTTTTGTTTTTTCGTTTTTTTTTACAGAAAAAGCTTATACAATTTAAGCTTATAAAATGCCATACACTGTCATTTGGCAGGGTGAAAAAATATATTAAAATGTCAGATAACAGAAAGTCATAATCTGTTGAGGTATAGAGATGGGGAGGTTGTAGTAGAAATGTTAAAAAGTTGGATGATAATGATAAAGATTATTAAAGAGATGTTTCAACTAAAATTAGAGCCTGGACTGTTGTCATGTTTATTGCATTTCATAACACTACTATTCTGTTAGAGAAATGAGCTATTTTGTGTATATTATAGCTTTGCAAAATGCCTGATAATACACACTGGAGATCTGTATATAACTGTTATGATCTAAGATTTTTAATAGTTCATCTGGGAAATCTGAAAGTGTTGATAAGGATGTATTAGTAAATTACATAACCTGAATGTTTTAATGTTTGTGTTTTGTGTGAACATGCTTTATATTTTGTTATGTATTTATAGAATTTTTGAAAACCATAGGGAATTACAGTGTAGGAAAATTATAAGTTGAATTTTTGCTCACTGGTTGGGTTTTTTGTTTTTTTAATTTTGCATTCAACGATTTCAGAAGTGTCAATTGCTGAGTTGTTTAAATACATGCATATTTAAGTGCCAGCACATATATCTTTCAACATAAGTATCTCTTTCAGCTTCCATGGACAATTTAGTGGGGGCCAAAGAGAGGGCAATTAGGAGAAGGGATATTGAAAATAAATGGCTAATGATGCTCCCACGTACTCCCACATAATCCTACATACTCTTCTGCTGCTGCAGATTGCCAGAAAACACTTAAATGTACATCAGTGACTCTGCATGTGTATTGTTCTCCATCATCTTCCTTGTTGAACGGTGAATGATGGAGATAAGCATGCAAGGAGAAAAAGGCTGAGCAACAGGGAAGTGGATGTAGGAGTGATGTGCAGACTATAGCAGTGTCCTGAACTTGGTTTTCCTCCCTTGTTTTTATTTACTTTGCTTCTTAGTAGGCACTGAAGTGGGTAGAGAAGTGGGAGCTGCAGGTAGCAGCTAAACTGTTATTAACCCTTACATATAGGTTTTCATGCAAGAGGAAGAGGGGGGGTATAATGTGATATCATCATTATAATAATTATTCATAATCTTCGCTAGAAATGGTAGCACCTATTTATTTTTTCGCTGTCCATTGATAGTTAAACATATCTCAGACTTCCATCTTGATTATTACTCAGTGCATCCAAGAAATTAAAGCTCAGATGGGTCATGTGAACAGGCTGCAGTCAGGAGACCTGATAAAGCAGGGTGAGCTCTGTTTCTTCTAATGAATTTGTGCTACCAGGGTAGTGGCCTTATTAAGTGTCTGAGCCAGTGAGTACAGAACTAGCATTCTCCTATGCAGGTCATTCAGTCTTAAGGACTGACTTCTTAGTGGACATGTTCTATACTCAGAGCTTTCATAACGACTTCTGTTTCCATCACTTCCCTACATGTATCTAATATGAGAACTTTTTTTTTTTGCTGTGTATTCTCTTTATAACTCTGATGAATGAAAAAGAAAGCAAGGTTACAATGCGGACAAGATCCACAAAGTAAATTAGGTGGTTCTGACTTTTCTCATATTTTAGAAGTTGACAAGGATATTTTATACATTCCAGTAAATGATGGAACTCATTTGGAGCAACAATAAGAGGCAAGATAATTAGTCAATCAAATCAGTTGGAGAAGAGGAACTGATGCCAGTTAATTTTTTCTTTCTAGGCATAACTTATAAATTGACCTTCTGTTGTGGTATATTTAGGTAAAATATTTGGTCCCATCTTGACTTGTCTTAATTCCAGTATTCATTTTACAGCAAAGCAATCAAGAAGGCTCAAGGAAACCTTGATTACCTAATATACCTAGACCAATCTTAGATGTGTTAGATAATAGAGGTTTTCAGTAAACTAATTTTAACTGATGTACAATTCCACATAAAATGTTGATTATCAGTGTTGATGTATTAATATTTTCCTTCCTAGGGCTACAGTCATGATGCTTTTTTCAATAAGCCATGCTAAGATGTTTTGTACAAACGTATCCTTTCTGAGGTTGGAAATCAAGTTTATTATTATTATTTCTATTTGGTTCCAGAACGAGGGTCATTTTTATAGTATTCACAAGGCAAACAATATCCGCTCATTACAAAAATCATGAAACTATTGACAATGAAAGAGAATGCATGTTTTTTAAAAATGAATGCTATCCCTTTAAGATGAGGTGCCTGTGCGCTTTCCTCACACAAACAAGATCGATTTTGAGCAGACTCCTACTGTTTGCTTTCTTTTTGGAAGAAGAAGAAGAAGAAGAAGGATTCTCACGCTGAATATATCCAACATATTCTCGATAACAGCTGTTTTTTTCTCTTGAAATCCACCAAAACTGAAGAAAAATCCAAGTGACTGTTCTTAGCAGCTGTGTGGCCTGGAGTTCACTAGGAAAGCTGGCTTCCTGCAGTCCCCTATTCATCACCTGCTTCAAAGGCAGCCTAGCTGGCTATAGTTTGCAGGCCAGGTAGGGTGCCATTGTGCACAGCCTGGGAGGATTAGTATCAAAGCTGCGGCAACCAGGCCCTTGGTCTCAGGCTGCCATTCAGTCTAGCAGGGAGAGGCTAAGACTGGCCAAGGTCATCGTATCCAGTGTGCTGTGGACTGGGAAAGGATCCTTCCTGAGAATAGAATGCTTCTTATGAAATCATGGCGCAAGCTTGCTGCACAGCAGGTGCCCTCCTGAAACACATACATCTGTTTATGTTGGTTTACCGTAGCTGACAACGAAATAATGCAGCTTAAAAAAAAAAAAAAACTTTAACGAAAAGAGAATATATATGTGTATATATACAGTTGTGTTGATTGGCTTTTATTTTTGAGAAATAATATCAAAATATTTGAAAGATTTGACTGAGCTTTTGTGTGTGTGTGCACGCGTGAAGAGCATGGGCGAATGATTTAACCATTTTTTAGCTGTATTACTGCTGGATTGCAACAGCAGGATACTTGGGGAAACATACACAGAATGCGACAGTGATTTTTTTCAATGTTCTATCATTCATACAAGTATATGAGGTTTAAGAATGTACCAGACTTGCTTAATTGTCATGCATAACGAAATTGCTTCAAGGAATTTTATTTTTTCTCAAGACAAAAGGGTTTTTTTTTTCCCTTTAAAGGGTGAGGTAAGATGATGTAAAAATAATGATAAAACAAACTTGATAAAATTGTGTGGGGGGAGAAAAATTAAGCTGTAAGATGAGTTGTCATGACGACAAGGATGTTCTATTGATGAACTGTACTCTTCATTGTCCAATCAGATAGTAGAGCTGAAGCTGGAGCATGAACAGGAGAAGACGCACCTATTCCAACAGCATAACACAGAAAAGGATTGCCTGGTCCGAGACCATGAACGGGAAATTGAGAAACTAGAAAAACAGCTTCGGGCTGCCATGACAGAGTACGACAATAAAACTCAAGAATGCAGGAAGCGAGATGCGCAGGTAATAATCAATAGCATTTCAAAAGTCATAGATATCTTTTTTAAAAAACAAAACCAACAGTATTTCCTGTTTTCCAGTGTAGTTGTTGATGCACGCTATTTGATCATTTGCAAAACTGACATATAAACACATTTTTGTTTTTCTTTTTCCCTTCTACCGCTCCCTCCCCCTGCCACTGCTGTAAAAGGCTTTAACTGCAAAAAACCACAGGTAGCCAGATTAAGAATCCCATGGTGTGCAACAACTTGGCCTCTTATTTATAATCTTGTCTCATTTTCTTTCATGATGGATTTAGGAAAAAAAGGTATTTCTCCCTCCCCCTTTATCTACAATAACCTCCTCCTACTCTCTCCCCCCCCCAGTAAATCTGTATTAAATATATTGGAGTTATTCATATTTTTTCATTTTTATCTCTGCAGGCAGCCCCCGAATTGCTTGTACTTAAGTTTTCACTTGATTTCTTAATAATTTCTCCTGATGTTTTGGGTTTTTTTTTTTTTTTTTCCTTCTCCCTCTCGCATGTGATTGACTGACTTCATTTGATAAACACATGAAATGTTTTTTGGGTTGCTTTCCATTAGGTATGATTTTTAAATATATGTATATATTTGTGTGAGTCTGAATCTGAAGAAGTGTTATTATTTATTACATATATTCACATACATATACATTATAACATATACGCACACATACATACACATGCATACACACCCCTCCCATTTCTATGGTCACTGTTGGAAGCCCATTTGGTCAAATCCCCAGCTGTAGTAGCATTTGACTCCTCAAACATATGGTTGAAATTTGCACTGTCAGCATGGAAAATTATCTTCATTTGGTCAAAAAAAATGCTTGGTTGTTTATGATGGTAGTTGCATTTATTATGGGAGTATCTAAGCACAGATTATTTTCCAGATTGTATGTGTTTCAGAGGCCTGAAGTGAAGATAATAAAAAAACGTACTCAAATAACGACTACTTTCTCGGTTATGTTAGAATAGTTTGCATAATTTTGTATGGAAATAAGCATCATTGTTTCTGTGCTTTAACCAACATATACTTTCATTCTCTTTGGGTTCTTTTCTCCATGCTTGATGGAAAGCAGTGGCTATGTAGGTATCATTCTAAAAACATAGACTGTCGCGCTAGTATGTTCTATACCTAAGCAACATTAATGGTTTCCTTTATTCTTTTGCCGCACAAAAGTCATGTATTCATCTTTACAAAAATTTAGGAGCTGAAGAGACCTGTTACTTTTTCCTTCATTGTTGTGATATTTAGTAGAGGAAGGAGAACTTTCATGTAAGCTTAAGAACAAGAAATATGTGCTTTTGGAAAGTTGGGTAGCAACCTGATCATTTGGGTAATACTTCACCACTATTTTTTCATATTGATCACTTTCTTCCACATGTAGAATTGAAACTGAGACATGGATTACTTTGTTTAGACTTTTTGCTAGGAATGTGCAGTATAAATTGTGAGTATGGCATGTATAGCTATGTTCTTAATACATTAATATGTAAAGAATGTATGTCTACAGAATTGGAACTACTGCTTTTTTCATTAGTTGCGTACATGCAAAGAATACAGTGCAGGAAAGAAAATCATTGTAATCAATGGATCTTAAGCATTTATCCCAAATTTAGTTACAGTCATTGGAATTTAAATATTTAATGACTCACTTTAGTTCCATTGATTGCATGGACATAGAGCTATCCTAAATATCATCTGGATGATACGGAATAGACATATGGATTCAGAGATGCCACTTGTGAAGCTCTCTAGTCTTTGCTGTCTTATTCATGTGATCTTCATGAGTTGTGTTCATAGAACAGATTACTGGAATGTTATATATATTTATAGTATATACCTATATATGTATAGTTATATATGTACATATAGTTCTATAATTCCACCCCTTCAGTACCATAGCAAATTATATTCTTTGTGGCCTCTATGTATTCCCATATGTCTTTGCTGCTACTCGGCAATTAATGAATTATAAAGGGGCTTTGAAAATTGAACATGCTACTTTTGAAAATGTTTAACTTGTTATCAGCTTTCCTATTGTCTAGGCTCATTATTATGACAGTATAATAAGGAGAATGACCTTTCCCTTGACTAGGCCATTTGTTTAAAAGGCTATCTGGTAACTACTATACTTGCCAGGATTTATTGGGTGTTGCCGGTAGAAGGTCGGTTCAAGAGGTCATGTATTTTAATTTAATAAATAATAGTGGCATTATTGATAAGATAATAGTGACATGGCTTCAATAATCTCAATATTTGCCATATAATACCCTAGTAGATATTAGGGTATAAATACATAAAAGAATAGCTTTGCTGTTAAATAAGTTTTTCTGTAAATTATATACCTACAATATGGCTTCTCATCTCTTCTTACCCAATGACATAGTTGAAGGCTTTTGTTTAACCAACTTCTTCATTTACCTTAACTAACAATCAGTCTGATAAATAAATATTGCTTGTTCTGAAAGATGCAGCTAATTCATGATTGGAGATTTTGAGATAAAATTTAAAAAGATATATGCCATTTCCTTTCTGACATTTTTACTACATCTGTAAAAACAAATCTTCATATTACATGTGGTGACTGGTGAAGTTGCGTCAAGTTCTGAAAAAACAAAGATTTTCAAAAAGCATTTGCTTGTATGTGGTGCATCACTGCAGTCTTATAGCTTCCAAAAGATAGGTAGTGAAAGGTCCGTTCTCAATAAATGTAAAAATAGGATTCTCATAAATTTGCAATGCATGAAGTAGAGATTTGTGTGAATACATTGTAATACTAGGTATTGTTTCCAAAGTGGTGACAACAGTTGACGCATGTTTCCAGGTTTAACAAATGTTGACTCGTTTTAGCATAACTGGAAATTCAGTTTCCTTGACTGAAAGGAATATAACATTTATGAGGTTTAGATTATAATTTCCATTTCAGCATCTCATTTTTTTCACCTCCTGGCCACAATGGTCAGGATGCTTTAACTATATGTCTACTGTTCATTTCTTGCAGAGTAATAATATGTGAAAACTGCAGTTAATCTAAGGGACTAGTCACCACAGTAATCAAGGAAATACTTTTAAATCTTTAATGCCTAGTTTTAAACTTCCACTAGGATTATTTGCAAGCCATTGATATGCAAGGTTTGAAATTACATTTTTACCCAAATGTAAAAAGACTTAAAAATTTTACATGATTTGGTTGAACTCATGCTTAATTTAAAAATTTATAATGCACATGTACAAAGTGTAGATATGACATACTCTGTTATCACATTATCAGGTATATGTGGTATTCATGCATAGTGCTTTACATCTTTGGAGAAGGTTTTTAAAAGTTCATGCACAGATTGTTACTTCTAAAGGCTATAGTTGTGTTATAACGAAATAATCATTTTTTCTCTGCCAGGAAAGACTGGTTCATTTTAAATGGAATACTTTGTTGTCTTTTATAACCATTTATGATCTAGCTACTAGAAAAATGTATCTATTTCACCATCATACTTGTTCTTGATCCAATTAATGTCACCTTTTCCCTAGTGCATGACATATTTTTGCTGCTTCAAGGAATGAACTATTCCCATTTGCTGCATAAAGTTATATCTTTTCAATCTTTATTCTTTGGCCATTTGACCTTTGGATAGAGTAGAAAGGAATGAACTTCAGAAAAGTCACATTACTGTTGTTTTGTGTAAAAGAGACATCAGAAAAATGAAACATCTTTTCCCATTTTCTGTTACAATGTGCTACCCTGCCATTTTCTTCCATTCATAAATGTTTCACCGGTAAATTTAACAGTTTAGTAGCCTTCATCAGTAACTTTGCAGAGGATTAGTAGCTAAGCTATTTATACAGTATCCACTTGGCCTTAAATACTTGCTATATAGTAAGATAAAACATGTTATAGGTTTATATAATCATATCCCAGGTAGAATAAAATATCCTCCCTTTTGAATACTTTCAAATGAAAAAACAAAATTTCATTAATAAAAGAAGGAAAATGAGCTTCCATTTTCTTCCTGTCAATTTAGTTTCTTAACCTGTCTACCTATTATATCATCCTTTCCCATTGTGTTATGCAGTTTGTTATATGTTTCTTTTCTTTAATACTCCGTTCAATTTTCCACACTTCAAAACTCACTTCTGCCCTCTGCCTGTTGTTCAGTATATCCTTAAATAATTGTGCTAGTCCCTTTGAAGTGTAGTTCTTGACATTTGTCAGTGTTCTTTTAGTAAGTTGAGCTTGACTTAATTTTTATCAGGCAACATAGTCTTGCTTATGGCAATAGCTTAAATTTACAGTGAGAGACAAACTCATAAAATATTGCTACCGAGAATTTGCACTTAAGGCAAGGTTCAGTTCATACCTCATTTTGGAAACAGCTCCAGTTCAGCTCAGACTGCATCCAAGGCCACCCAGTTTGACACAGGCCTAAATCATAATGTTGTTTTAGGAAACTGAAACTTTGTATTTTACTCTAGTGACAGTAAAGGGGAAATCAGTAAATGGCTATAACTCTTGGATTAAATTTGCAGTAGTTGATCTTTCTTAGGAGATGAAACTTGCTACAGTTTCAGACATCCATTTATTTGTGCACTCGTTCTCTCTCTCTCTCTGCATGCACACAGTAGGGGGAATTTTTAATATCTGGGGGTTTTAAAAATAGTTTCCGGCTACACATACAGTGTTTTTGTGGTAATTTTATAAACATATATCATAGAGGTCTGTTTAATTTAAGAAGTGCACAGCATTTCAGAAGGACAGGTGCTGGGTTTAGAGAATTCTGAAGAATTGAAAAGTTTGAGGAGTGTGATTTTTTGCTTCCTGATAAATGACAGCACCAAAGTCTCAAGAACTGTTAAGTGATAGAATGGATAGCTGACACTTTATTAAGAATATATGTACAATTTAGAGCTTGTGCACACTGTGTACTTCAAAGGGAAGCTTTAATGAGGTGCTTTAAAAAGGATTTCTACTTATACTTA